AAAAAATGCCAACAAACATCAAGTGCTAAAATAAATATTTTAGATACAGAAGAACAAGTTATCACTTTGGCAGATGAGAGTAGTGATAATAATATTGTATTGGATTACAATAATAATAATAATAATAATAATCTATTATCTGAAGAAGAATTAGACAAAGGTATTCGATATAACAATATTGATGAATTTGAAGATTATTTAGTACCAAACATTGATTATAAAAATGAATTTCAATCTAGACTTAGAATACTATCTAGTTTTGATAATATATTAATTTGGCTATTAAAATTTCAAAGTGATTTTAAAGTGCCTGAAACAGCTATCAAAATTTTAATTAAATATATTTGTTAACTATTATGTGAGTTTGGTGATGAAAATCTTTTTAAAGATTTTTTAGCCTCAATATATATGCTTTGAAAACATTTTAAAATTGTTAACTTTATAATATATTTAGTATGTCTAAAATATGACAAACTATATACTGAAAAAGAGGTTGTTGATTCACAAAATAATAATGAACAATTATTAGTAAAAAAATGTAACCATGTTGAATTTTCAAATATAATTAGATCTAGACAAGTAGTTATATATAATTTAGCTTTAGCAACACAAAATCGATATCTAAGTGATACTATTAATAAGCAATTTTACTTTATCCTTTTGCAAGTATCAAAAGTCAACTTGCAAAAATATACATGTTCTAATTTTGAACAATTATATAGAAAATGGACTTATTGTAATATTTCTAAAGGCATTCTTTCTAATATTTATGATGGTTAAGTTTGTTTTGGAAAAAATTTGCTAATAAAGAATCAATTGGTAGTTAATTTTTTACACAAGAATTAGCTGATACACATCTTGACTTTATATTAAATTTGAACTAGTTTTAGCCATTTGATAGAACCTAGTATAACACTGGTGTAATTTATATAGCTATTTTTAATTTACCAAGAGATATTCAATTTAAAGCTGAAAACATATTAGTTCTTGGCATTTTACCAGATTCAAATGAAGTCTATCTATATCACATTAACTACTATCTTGCACCAGTTGTTGATGAGTTACTCCAATTTTGAAATGATGTTCAAATTTCAACTTATGAGAACCTATCTAAAAAGACAATTTAAGCAGCATTAATTTTATGTTCATGTAATATACTTGCAGCTCGAAAGCTTTGTGGCTATATTTCAGCATTAGCAACCTATTATTGTTGTAAAAAAAAAGCACAATATGAAGATAGACATTATCATTATGGAAGCATAGATGATATTGATACTTGGTTTATTAAACATAACTTAGCTCAGCATCAACAAGATACTAAGCAATGAAGAAGATGCTATACTAAATCGGGCAGAAAACAACATGAAAACTTACTCATGTTTGGTAGTCTGAGTTAGTCCAATTACTATATTTTAATCCTATTTGGTTTTTAGCTATTGATCCAATGCATTGCCTATTTTTAGGTATTGCAAAATGAATTATAAAGTGATTATGGGTTGATAATAGAATATTAAGTATCAACCAATTAAGGCAAATTCAAATTAAAATGTCAGAAATTCAGGTTCCATCTAATATTGGCCGAATTCCAAGAAAGGTTGACTGTGGTGAGGGGTTTGCTAATTTTACTGCCAATGAATAGAGAATATTTATTTTAATTTATACAATACCTTGCCTGTGGAATTATCTTTCAGCATCAGATCAAAGAATTCTTACAAATTTTGTATGAATTTGTACAATTCTAGTTTGCCAAATTATTGATATAACTGTATTAGAAGAGACACATAGTCAGTTTATTCTTCTTATTAAACAAATTAAAGAAGAATATGGTAAAAAATATATTACACCAAATCTTTATCCAGC